GAGACCTGCAGTTCAAATACTTGAAAATGTAATCATTGTAGGATACAAATAGGTTTTTGTAATAAATAAAAATGAAAATAATGAAATTACAAGATACAAACTCCAACTCGTAGCTTAATGTTTCTCACAAAGACCTGAAATTGATTATGAGGAAACATATTCTCCCGTAATGGATACCATCACATTCAAAATTTTAATTAGTTTGACTGTGTCACAAAAGCTCAATATACACCTTATGAATATAGTAACTACCTATTTATATGGTTCACTTGATAATAACATATATATGAAAATCTCCAAAGGAACTAAAGTGCCAGAACAAATTATATATGCCCAAAATCATGTTTTAATTAAACTGCAAAGATCATTATATGAAATAAAACAATTCGGACGAATGTGGTATAATCGCCTTAACGAATATTATATTGAACGAGGATTATAAAAATGGTGATATCTGCCCATGTGTTTTCGTAAAGAAAAACAAATATTGAATTTGTAGTTTATGTTGATAATATAAATTTAATTGGAACTTCTGAAAAGCTCAAAAAATAGTAGATTATTTGAAAAATACGTTTGAGATAAAAGATTTAGGAAAAATCAAACTTTATCTCAAGTTACATATTGAAGATTTCACGGTATGATCATTTGTCTGTCAATCTACATTTACAGAAAAAGTTATAAAAATGTTTTTATATGGATAATTCACATCCATTAGCATCATCTAACATATTCAATCATTTGATGTGGGAAAAAAAATTCATTTTGTTTACTTGAAAATGGAGAAAATATTTTTGGTCCTAAAGTATCATATCTTAGTGCAATTGAAGTATTAACTTTACCTTGCAAATTGCACTTGACCCAATATATTTTTTTCTGTAAATCTCTTTACAAAATATAGCTTTATACCAATTCAAAGATGTTGAAATGATGTTAAACATATTTTTCGTTACCTAAAGGGTACTATTGATTTGGAATTATTTTATACTCAAAGGTCAGAATCTGCTTTAGCAAGATATGTAGATGTAGGTTATCTTTTTGACCAGCATAAAGTTGAATCACAAACGGGGTATGTGTTTACACGTGGAGGAATTGTTGAAAATTTACTCAATCACGTACATTGAAAAATAATATAATTTTAATTCCCACTAAAGATTTACTTTTTGTTTAGATAAAAATGGTGATAGGGATTATACTTTTTTGTTGATTCTGCAAACTCCTTTACTAATATTATAACACGAACAATCACGATCTGAAATCCAGAGTTGTCCAATCTCAAATGAAAATTCACATAAGGAACAAGATTGAGAGAACTAAGGTTTTTCTTTGCTTGTACTAGCAAAAATATGAATTGTATTCTCCTCTAAATTTTTCAAACCCTATTAAAATATGAATTGTATTCTCCTCTAAATTTTTCAAACCCTATTAACATAAGTCCAGATGGGATTGGCTTGTTTCTTAACTTAACCCGGTCAAATATTTAATTAATTCAATTAATTAAATTTGATCCATTAATTAATTATCCATCACTTGTCAATTAATTAATTGATAAATCTCATTTTTCTAGTTCTCATTTTATGTGTGACCCATTAAGTTCTCAATTCCAATGTCTAACGACGTGAATTATTATTTTGATCCAATCAAAATCGATGAATTAAAATACCCTTTTTTAATTTATCACCAAATCACATACGTCGTCCCAGATTAATATCTAACAATGTGTCGAAAAATATATGTGACGAAAAATGTCATATGGTATGAAAAAACTAAACTTGTTCGTTTACTGTGAAACTATAATCCTTTCGTCAGTATGATCCGATCAATTATGAGATATGAATATGTGTCAATGTCAATTATCGATCATATATTTCATCTTTTCGACTTATAAGTGCACATTGGCTAAGAATTTCGTTATCAACTTAACTGAATGAAATATAAATTATAATCTCTTACTATTCGAGAGTGACGAATCCTCTATTGATCATTTACAACTTTCATATGATTCTTAATATACACGAATGATGTCGTATTAGCGGCACTTGACAGTGTAACATCCAACATCACCAAAGTATGACTATCCTTATGTAAGACACTTTAATGACCTCAAGTCTAATGACCAATTTCACTACTAAATGTTAGAGATTAATTATCGATAATCAGATCGTTATCCATGTGAAATCTCCTCAATGGGTTCTTAATGTTTTGTTCTATAACAAAATATCCACGTATTCATTTAAGTGTCACCATACTTTAGCTCATAAGATTAGTTACTTACTTTACAAATAAGAAATGTCACACGTGATGGTCTATTCGTAATAACGATCATATCTTATTATTACTTAGGACCATGAATGATTTGAGATTCAGTCATAAGTAATTTGTATCTCACGATCACAACTCTTTGTAATTAACAAATTATTATGATTTGAATTTACGGACTCTATTATTTAATTTAATAGAACATTAATTAACAATAGATTTGCCATAGAATTACATTAATTATATATATTAAAAGTGTTTTATGTCCAAAATTGATTGGATTTAGGGCATAATACTTACAGGAAAAACTATATTATGGAAATATATGAAACAATCATTAACAGCAACATCCTCAAATTATTTTGAAATTATTGTGATCTATGAAGCGGGTGGAGAATGTGTTTAATTGAAAAACATGACCCATTATGTCCAAGAATCATGTGGATTAATTTCAACGAAAGCTAGTCTAACAATTTTATATGAAAACAATGTAGCTTGTATTACATAACTCAAAGGAGGCTATATCAAAGATGATAGGACGAATCATATTTCTCCAAAATTCTTTCAAACACATGAGTTTTAGAAGAATGTCGAAATTGATATTCAACAAATTCCGTTAAGTGGCAATGTTACTGGTTTATTCACACAAGCACTAGCGACATCTACATTTAAGAAGTTGGTTCATAAGATTGGAATACGTTAGTTCCAAAATTTTTAGTGATCAACATAAGGGAGTGTTTATTCCACTCGATTTTCCTAACAAAGTTTTAATGAGACAACATTTATTTTTAATACTCTAAAATAACTGCATTATTTTTATTTAAAGGAAGACAATGGCACAGTCAGAATTTTTTATTTCAAGACGATGATTATTGAATCAACATTTATTTAAATAAATCACTTCTAATTAGAGGCAACTTAAACATAGTCCATGTCTTTAGAGGATGTACACATAAGTTGGAGAGAGATTAGAGTTGCAATTCGAACGCAAAAAGTAAAGCATAGTTCCAATTCTCTCGTTTAATTGATCTCTACAATTTTAAATTTTCGTAACGAAAAAAACTCGAGTGTGATTATTGACAAAATTATTAGATATACATCTAAATTTAGTTTCTTGAGAGCCATCTTGTATTGTATTTGAAATATAGTAACATTTTGCTTAATATCAAGACTTCATTCTAGGTTTTAAACCCATTCTATTTTTGCAAGTTCAACAAGCAGAATGAGTACTAGATATAAGAATATTTTTTTCATCTAAATGATGTATATTGAACTTATTTCTTTGTATATCCATACAAAAAAGTGTAATATTTCAATGGGAAGCTAAAAGACTTGCAGCAATTATTAAAACAGAATGATATATGAAACTAAAATAGGAATGATAGCATCATTGGCCTTCCCACTTATTTCCATCATAACAAATTGATCTCCATCTTTTTTCAACTTTATGTTCCTAATCTTTTAACTTTATAACAATTTAGTTTTGTCGACACTTTTCAGTCTAGATTAAAAGGCTAAATACTGTAAAAATAATACTATTGAGACTTGCGATTCTAACTTAAAAATATCAGCCTTCTTAAGATGAGTAGCTCAAACTCTCATATTTTAACCTAAATTTCAATAATTAGTCGATATGAAATTTATTTCTTCATTTTTTATCAAAAATTGAAAAATGTGAGAATTACTTTTTTTAATTTTCTAGTAAAACATATTTCAAGGTTGTCAACATGCATTAGTTAATAATGATGACCCAAAAAATAAAAATTTGGGAACAAGAATGATATTTCTTGCATTCAAACTGTACAAGCAAGTTGGCTTCAAGCAATCAACATCGCAATAAACTAAAATGTTCTATTCATGCTTTGTCAAACAAGTCATTAAATTCTAAAACCTAACGTGAAAATTACAAATTATATCATTATCTCTTTTATTTCAACACACAATTTATTAATTAACTCGCCTAGTCTTGACCAGATCAATATAACGCGTGTGTCGCCTACATAATGTCATCATTTCGATACAATGTCATGCTTACCTTACTTTTAAATTGGTGAAATTTTAATTTAATTCCACTTGCATCTTGAATCTTGTGCACTTTGAATGGTTCTTGTTGCTAAAATGATTACAGCTACAAATCCATGAAAATTTAACAGAATTTAGCAACTAGTACTTTCTTTAAATCTTGGAATCATTTAAAACCCATTATATAATTATATTTACATTGGATTTAATCTAAAGAAAATGCTATTTTTATTTCAAGTTGTAATAAATAATCTTGAAAGAGTAGAAGCAAAAGTTGCACAAGTGGGCGGGCATTTGTGCCATTGAAAAGTCTTTCGGCAACTTGCCAGAATACCAGGTAATAACAACCGTCTGAAACTTGGTTTCAACATCGACCCAAAAAAAAATTTAAAAAAAAAAAAAAAAAAAAAGAAAAACACAATAGTCAAAGGTCGGACTGACATTGAATCCCACACTCATTCTCTAAATCGTTTCTTCTCCACAATCATTAACTTGAACAATACTACTCGTTCACTAACACAATTACCCTAATACATCAAATAACCACCTATAATATATTTGCTACGTAAGACGATTGCCGTAGTGAACAACTACAAGTAATATTATTCTTTCAACCCACACACTTTAAATAGAATAATTTTACAAGTAAATTCATATCTTTCTACTATTTTTTTTTAACCACGTTCTAAAAATAATAATAATAATAAATAAATAAAAGTCAATGATTGGAACAGTCTAAATTTACTCCATAAAACCATTTTTCAGCTATAAACTGTTGAGAACAAGTAGATTCAGACATTGATGGACAGCACAAAGGACAATTAACAACATCAGCTGCAACCTTAAGCACATTGATTTATAAAGGGAACAATCATATTTAAAAAGAAAAATGAAATAAGGATTATTTAAATCTGCTCCTCGGAGGATTAATCAACTTTGCTTGAATTAAACTGCACCAACGACCTCAGACTAGAAATTCTTTAAAAAAAGTCTTAACCCCATTTTCCAAGCTCAAATCCATGTCTTCGTCCGTCGACATCCCAAATTAGGCCTAGTTAGAAGGTCAACTGTGATGGGGTTTTCAATTGCTCCAATAAGGCTGTGCATAGTCTTCTCTAGGCAGAATATTAATACTCGTCGGACGATATATAGATGGCCACGATGAAACCTTTTACTTTTGACCGTCCCTCCTACTTGCGGCCCTTGAGGCTATTCTTCCTCCTGCTGTTTTGTCCCATCTGGTGTTTCCTCAATGTTCCACCTGCCTTCAAAGATAATCAACGGCCAAAAAACGTCAAACAAGCAAAATGATCATGTACTAAACGTGTTTTAAAGAATCATGGGAAGCACAGAGAAACAGACACAGAACATACCCCAACACAAAATCCTTCAAATTGAGTGCCTCCCACCTTCAAATTGCTTGAGCTCATTTCCGATGAATTTCTTTTGTTGCTGGTACTAGAAATTCCATTGCAAGAAGCATAGGATGAAGAAGAACATGCAGGAGAGGTTGTAGAACGGGAAGAAGAACCGAGCATCTCAATGTCACTCTGGAAAATCTCTTCAAACAGTTCCTGCAATTCCTCGAAGCTCTCCTCTCGATTTTCCTGCCAACCACAGAGCTATATTTTGAACACGATGCTGCCACTTCTTCACAAGTTCAAATTGAAACATGCATGATAATGATGTATCAAATTCTATCCAAAGTGGCCAATTGTTTGGTCCACCACCGGCCTTGAAAATTAACATCAGTCAAGGAATGGTATGAGATACAGATAAAAAGTTCAACTAACATCCCACTTTAACCGACCACTAAGAAACGTTAATTTAATCATGGATTATGATGTGTTAGAATTGCAAAAGGACACCTAATTTTTTCCCTTTCTTTTTCTTCTTCTAATTTTTAAAGTTTTATACATGCCAAAAATGTGGAAATGAATGCAAAAACAGAGGCAAGAAAACATACCCTTTTTACCTAGCGATGAACAGCACCTTCTAAGAGGGCCTCTTGCGGGACTCAAAATTTTCACATTTTAGAAAAGCACTTCAGTGAACATGTATCAAAAAAGGCACAACTCAAAATGTCATGCTTGATTCAAGTGTTTTGGAATGTAAAGAGAATATATATTTACATACCAAGAAAAACATAAAATTGTTCAGTGATTGCTTTTCCCAACAAAATGAGAACAGTGTGCCCATTTAAAGCTTGAAAATATGCAGTACAAAAAGCATAACAAATCTATCTTCCCTAAATCTTATATAAGTGCGACTGTCTTACTTTTCCTTTAAGTAGGAATACTCAAACAATTGAATAATAACTGCCATTTCGCAGTAAAGGTGATAAAGCATTGGCTGTAGCCCTCAGATAGCATAACATTAAATTAAGGTGTAGCGAAAATGAGGCCATGTGCAATTTATAAGGCCTCCAGGCATAAAAAATTAAAAATAAATAAATAAATAAATAATAATAATAATAAACAGGCCGCTAACCAATAAAATAGGAGCGAAAAACATCATTGCAGTTAAAATTCGGGAATCCTCTGCACTACTTACAACTAAACCCCTTCCGTTGTTTTATCATGCGACTCCAAATATTCTCCCTTTCTTCTGTAAAATTGAGTTTTCATTTAAACATCGCAAAGATCGTACGTAGCAGTAACTTACATTAGAATTTTTTTGGCTCATCATTGCTGCCATTTCATTCAAGAAATCACCCATACCCTGCATTACATGCACAATCAGCACAAACAGACTCCCATTAGTTCTCGAGCAAACTAAGCTATAAAAACATTCATTCTGATACCAACATTTTTTTAGACAATAGATTGACCAAAAAACTTATTTTCAAAGCCAATGTTAGCAACAGGTTTTAACAAATATATGCCATCCTGTTATTCGTTTCATTCTTTTCACCCCCACCGTTTTTCCTTCTTTCTGGCCCATTCTAAAAGGAATTATGAAGATGTCCATAGCTAATGACAATATTTTTCCACCAAACTGTTGCTTTAAGTTTGATCAATCCATAATCTTATACTCAAGATTCAATTAATCCATAATCTTATCATAGATATTCGAACTGAATAAATGGTCCTGGCTGCTACTTCGGCCCCACTTCATGCAACTGGGGAACACCCCTGAAGGCATAATTACAGACTTAAGGGGACAAAATGTACCAAAAATAAGAATTAGTTCAAATTAATAAAAGTTCAGTGTGTTCCATATTCTCTATAGGACAGTTCTTGAATTCGAGACCAGTGAAATGACACAACATTTTAAAATCACAGACGAAATGTGTGGTGGTAATTGATAACTTACAGTTTCATCTTCATGGTCGTTACAGTCATATATGCCTACATCATAGAGAAACCTTTTGTTGGCATCCGAAAGCACTGCGCTAACCAACATTTCGTGAGTCCAATTATCACAGAGTAAATGCACTTACAATTGCGTTATTATGGATAATTGAACAAAAATGGACCACTACACATGAACTTGCAACCAAGAAACAATTTCTAATCTTTATCTGAAGAAGCAAAGCAAAATCAGAACAAAAATACTAAAATTTAAACTATTCCAAAATTTAATACATTATTCAATAATTACTTAGCAATGATTCCATGTTTTGAATTCTGACTCGAAATTCACATCAACATCAAATTGCCGTTACCAAAAGTTACATTGCTCGAAAATTTCGCAAGTGAAGCAATTTTGGGATAAATTAAGCTGCTTTCATCAAATACAGAGTATGAAAACAAAACGTGCAAATACCAGAATAGGCTTGTTGAATGGCCTGAAATTTCATTTTAGCCTCTTCCACATAATTCGAATTCCCAGATGCAACACAACGATCTGGATGCCATTTCTATAATGAAACAATAAATCAACCTCAAATCCACCACAAAAACGAAAAAAACAGATTCTGAAGATTATTTCTACACATTCCGCGCATTATTTTTTAGTATCATGCATTCAGTAAAGCATTAATTATTTGTAATGGAAATTTTGCAAGAAAACAGAGCATAGGATAACCAGGGCCTTGGAAATATAAATTTCAAATTCTAAGAAGAAGAATCAATCTCGAACACAAAGAGAACTTCCTTGAAATCCCATCATATCCATTTCCCCCAAAAAGAATCTAAATTTCCAAATCCAAGACACTTATAACGGATCCCGTATACATGAATTACAAAACAAAAGGGTGGCAGCGAAAGAGTGCCCTTTTTCATATAAAAATTGGATTCAAATTCTAACCAGTGCAAGCTTCTTGTACGCAATTCTGAGCTCTGCCGCAGTGCATTCCTTCTTCAAACCCAAAATCGCATAAAAATGACTGTTCTTGTCATCCTCAGCAGCCATTTTTCAAACCCACAAAATCAAAAATTTCTTGTCGACAAATTTTTCTTCTCAAAAACATGCAAGCAGCAGCCTTATTATATATAATGCATAAACATAAAATATTCAACAACGGCCGAAGATCTACATCCCTTTTGTAGAGTAGGACACGCAACTTGTAGAGAGAGATTAATAGCACTCTCCCTTCAACGCGCTAAGGCTAAAGAAGCCTCCAGAAGCAGGTTTCATATAAATTTATATGCTGGGATTTATACATACAGACGAATGAATAAATTATTTTGACAATAACTTTAATATTCAACAACGGCCGAAGATCTACATCCCTTTTGTAGAGTAGGACACGCAACTTGTAGAGAGAGATTAATAGCACTCTCCCTTCAACGCGCTAAGGCTAAAGAAGCCTCCAGAAGCAGGTTTCATATAAATTTATATGCTGGGATTTATACATACAGACGAATGAATAAATTATTTTGACAATAACTTTAAAAAAAAAAAATTGTTTTGTGGGTAAAAAATGAATATATGTGGGGTGGCTTTTGGACGAGAATATTGAGGATATTATGAACGGCTGTGATAGAGTTCATAGATAGATATTTATGAGAGACTGTCTCCAGAAACTTCCGAGCCAACTGTTCTAGGTCTGTCATTTTTGTCACTTTTTTGTGGATTGAACAATGCTGTACGTAAATAGAAACTTTCACAGGAATTTTACGGACTTTAACTTGGCCCGATTTTATTGATAGATAAATCTGCTTCTACATTATAAAAAAAAAAAAAAAAAAAGTTGAACCCCAATCTTGAGAATCTCATCGTCCCATCAAATCAGGGAACAAGAACTGCACGTATACTGCGCTTACATTATGTTATGTATATAAGGATGTCCATACACTCTCATTTATTTATTTATTAAAATATCACATTAAGAGAGAATTATTTTTTGAACGATTTTAATCCCCCAACAATTCAATTATTTAAATAAAATTATGTACACCAAGCACATTCCATTTTATTAATTGATAGACAGTTAGCCCAATAATAATAATAATAATATGCAAATTGGGTAATACATTCAAATCTATTGTGAGAAAAAACCAAGTTATTATTATGTTTTCCAATATAAATACCCTTTTTGTTTACAGTTTTACTAAATGTACAATTTGGTTGACGAAATTGTTGACGGTGCGTGAGGTGATCAATATTTTTGTCATTGATTTTAAAAATACTAATCAAAGTTGAACATGCACGACACGTTATTCTAAAATACTTTATAAATGATGTAAAAGTAATATTTAATACTAATTTATTAGAGGATTTGATGAGTCTCAGACGAATTTAAATAAAAAAATAGCATAGAAATTTCAAGAGAATAAAATTGTACTTAAATTGTACTCTCAAAACTTAATTTTTATGATTCAAATTTTTTATAATGATGAAATATTATAAATGAGCAATCTTTTTATATTATATTTGATACATAAAAATTAATTGTTAACACATTTATGTAAACACCCATTAAAATTTCTAGATACATGAATATAAATAAATTTATCTATAATAACTCTAAATTCATATAATTCAAAATTCATCGAGTGAAAATTCATTGAATCTATATTAATGTAAATGTTAATTAATTAAGAATTAATAACACAAATTTTACAAACAACAATAATTATGTAGTATTCATTACATATCTAAAAAAGAAAAGTAAAGTATTATTGAAATAATTGAATTGTAAAAGGGTTAAAATCGTTCAAAAAAATGATTTTCCCTTGATGTGATACTTTAATATATAATAGATATAGACTTAAAACAATCAATGGTATAATTTTTTACTCCTCATTGAAAATCAATAAAACTTTACATTTTCAATGTACAAATGGATTAATTTTTTTCTTATTGGGATTGGTTAGCTTTTTTGAGGGATTGAAAAATGATGGGATGATATGATTTGTGTCTCCGGATAAAGCTCTGTGTATAGAGCTTTTTTCACAGAGGTCTTATCGACCTCTCACATGGGATCGGTGTCACGTGGATCCCGATGCAATAAAAAATGAAGAAGTTTTTTTGACCCCACCCCTTTGTGAGAACCCTGTAAGGGTTCTGTAATGTGGTGGGCCTGTACGCCCAGCACTGCCCTTGTGTATCCTCTCTTATTTTATATTTTACATTAAATTGTATTAGAAGTGAAATGAAAAATAAAAATATTTTAATTCTCATTATTTTTTTTTATTTTTTATTTTTCTAACAGGGAAATCTTGGGAGAAGCGCCTTGGCCCCACTCCACGTTATTACTAGTTTTAATTGTCCCAATTTTATTGCTTTGGTATTCAGTACAAAGTGAATGTCGATGATTGCTTGACAGAGTCAATGTTATCGACGAAGATTTTCAGTGGGAGTTATTACAATCCCAGAACTATTCTCTTGTATAGATCCTATATTCGAGTAGAACCAGCATAATTAGATCAACTTAAAATGATTTTTATATAATAATTGCTGAAATTTATGAAAATAAAAGGATGATTCCCATTGATGAAGCTTTAAAGTCTGTTACAAAGGATTTTGCCGAATTTAGCATTTTGGAGAGGACCATTCCCCCTAATTATTTAGGCCTTATAATAAGCAATTAGCTGTCTCGTCACATAAACTACAATGTCGACCACGAAATGAGAGTTATTGCCCGATTGATTGAAGGGTTTTGATTCACTATCGAGGTCCAAGTCATCATTTCACCCAAATTGTAGCTGTGATTTAGGTTATGATTACCTATCACTTAAGAAATAATTGCTTATTTCTAATTGGTAGATGGAGCGATGATGACGTCAGAAGTAAGACTTGTCGTTTTGGGAATGGTTGCTCGCGTGGTGGTGACGTCATTGAGTAACATGTTTTAAAAGTGAAAAAGGTTGTGTGTACAATGCTATACATGTACAGCACTCTCACAATTGTGGGGTCCACGATTATTGTAATTATGAACTCCACCTTTTGTATGTGAGAGGACTGTCAATCATGACGTCAAAATTGTTGTACTTGTAGTATTACTTTTTAAAATTTACAATGATAATGTTGAAGATGATGAAGACATTTGGCCGAGATTTGATAGCGATGGTTGTGGTGGCAACGACTTTCATTGGTGGTGGTGTTGGTGCTATGTGGTAGTGGTAGTGGTGGTGGTGATAGGTTAGAGTGTCTGCAAGTAGCCATAGTGGCAGTTGTGATGGTATGTAACCCATTATTTGGTGTGTGTGATTAATAATTTGGTTATTGATGACCAAGTATTCATTTGTGATCTAAAAATTTGATAATATGTGACTAAAAAATAATTTGTGACCAACAAATATATTTTGACATATAATGTTTTTGATTTGTGACCGATGAAATAATCTGTGACCAATTATAATATGTGACATTGTAACCCATAAATTCGCATCTATGACCATAAATTGTATAATTGTGACATTAATATATTTAATTAATAAAATGTTTTTAATTAATTAATTAATACCTGATTTTTGAATTTTGAAACTTAAAATCTGAAAATTGAATTGTTCACACTTAATACATGACTTGTGAATTTTTCCCAATTTTTTTCCCTTTATATTTTCCTTTGTACTTTCCTAAATATCATTGAGAAAAAGAAAAAAAAAAGTATGAATTAGGTCATAGTAAAAATAAAATAAAACAATTTATTTTTGTGGGATTTGTTCGTGTAACTTTTTAAATTGCAATTGCAAGCTTTTACCTATAGAGTACGAATTTATTCTATTTCTGTGCTTGAGATCGACATTACGAAATTAAAGATAATCTTAGTGCACGTCGAGGCATTAATTTTTGTATATCTCTTTCGTAGTTTCTTAATTTCAATCAGTATTGTCTCTAAGTAAATCATAAATTATTAAGTCCAACACTAACTAGAATAAAGTGGCACAACTTGAAGGAAAATCATATATTCCTCCATAATCAAATTGAGAATTTTAGTATGAGAAAATGGGACCCAACAATGAATTTTAATAGTTAAATGATTGAATCCAACCCTAGCAACCCCCAACTTGTGTTCATGTTCTTTTCAACTTGACCAATTGAGGCAAACAATCAAAACCCTTTGATCGATTCTTGAATAATTTCTTTACCTTATTCATAGTATAATAGTAGATAAAATGGTCATTATGGTTGTGAACGAACTATTCAGAATTAGGATATATGAGGGTCGTTCAATCTGAAAATCATGAGAATCGGATCAAAAAAATTTCTATTGGAGACTATGAAAATGAAACAAATGGTACTATAAGAAAGAAAGGAACTAGAGCATACTAGAGCAGATCAATTTTAGTTCGATCCTACACGGTCCCTATTTTTCCATGAAACCATTACTACTAGTTCGATTTTTATGCTTCAAAAATAAATGTTAAAAGTGTAAACCGTAAAGTTTCTTATTTCATTCTCACGCTTTATATTTTAAATATTATACTCTTTAATTAATTTAAATTACAATTTTATCGAGATTATATAAACATATATTTGAAACCAAATTAAAATTTGACTTTGTAGCTCGAATAGAAAATTGACAACAACCCTTTTGCTCTCTATTCTAAGAACTAGAATCGAACCAAATCAATTGATTCAGGTCGTTTTCGAGTAAAAATATACACCCCTAATTTAGAGTTGAATCGTCAAAAATTTGATTGTTAAACTTACTCAAATGGGCCATACTAAAAAAAGTAAAAATATAAATACTATTCAATCAGTACTTAATTTATTGTCGTATTCAAACAATGGTTGGTGCCACTTGATTTGATGTTTGGGCCACATTAAAACACCACCATCAGCTAGGCCTTTATGAAAGGTAACAAAAAGTGGTAGATACATTTCATGTGTTTATAGAATAGAATATTAAATTGGTTGGCAATAGGTAATGCAAAAGGGCCCTGTACACCGCCCGGGC